CACTTCGGATAGTACCGCATCAGATATTCAAATTTTGAACTCCAGGTCGCAAAAACTGAAACACGTTGGAAAGTACTGAATCACTTCAGAAAAGTTCGGAATGATTGGAGGCGAACCAGCCTAAGGCTGAAAGCCTCCTAAATAAAGCTAAATAATAATAATAAGTTCGGAATCACTTTGGAAATTACTGAACAAAACATAAAAGTTTGGAATCACTTTAGAAAGAACTGAATCATTCCTGAATAGTTTGCAAACACTTCCGCTCCGCAAGTACCGAATCACTTAGGATAATTTTAGAATCACTGTTGAAAATACCAAATTAACCCAGGAAAGTTTGTAATCACTTCTGCAAGTTCTGAATCACTATTAATTTAATCATTTTAGGAAATTTTGAAAACTCTTCTGCAAGAACTGAATCACTACATAACAGTTTAGAATAAATTCAGAAAACTTCGGAGTCAATAAATCAGTTTATCAAAAATTCCGAATCACTTTGGTACATCAATCAGGAAATTTTGTTATTACTTTCATAAATACTGAATAATTCCGGAAAGATTTTTTTTTTCCTTGATTTGTTTTCCGTTGTTCTTGTTTTTCGTACTGAGTCCAATGATACCGAGGCCAGGGAGGCAGCTCCCACACTTGGAAGGCGTGATCAGAGATTTTATACCTCAGAAAATCCCAACGGCGCCGACTGGGGTTGAACCCAGGCCTTTTGTAGTGAGAGGCATCGGAAAGTACTGAATCATTCCAGAATAGTTTGTTAGTACTTTCGAATGTACTGAATCATGGTTTGAAATCACTTAGAAAATTGCTGAATCACTTCAGAAACGTTTGGAATCTATATGAATGGTACGGAATCGCTTAATAAAAAATAGAATCACTTTACAAAGAACTGAATCATTTCTGAATGCCGTCGTGGATAAGGTTCCAAAGGGTGACATCAAGATCTACACTGTCGACTTCAATGCGAAGATCGGCTCCGACAACACGGACTATGAGCGTGTCATGGGACGCCATGGTCTCGGCGAAATGAGCGAGAACGGTGAGGTGTTTGCAGAATTTTGTGGCAATAACGACATGGTGATCGGGGGCTCGCTCTTCCCCCATCGGCCAGTGCACAAAGTCACGTGGGTTTCCCGTGATGGAAATACCGAAAATCAGATCGACCACATCTGCATCAGCCGAAAATGGAGACGGAGCCTTCTTGATGTCCGGAATAAACGCAGCGCCGACATCGCGTCTGACCATCACCTTCTAATTGGCGAAATCCGCCTACGCATGGTGCGGATCCAGCGACGGGAGGAGAGACTCGGGCGGCGGTTCAACACACGCCGACTTGAAGATCCAGCGGTAAAAAGGTCTTTTGTTGAAGAACTTGAGACTCGAGCTGCGGACGTTCCAGAAGATGGCAGCGTAGAAGAACAATGGACGGCCATCAAAAATGCCTTTATAGAAACAAGCGAGAACAACTTGGGTGAGCTGCGCACAGAGTGGATCACAGATGAAACCTGGCGGAAGATTGAGGAGCGTAGAGAAGCAAAAGCCGCCATAGAGCGGGCGAGAACCAGATGAGCCAAGAACGAAGCCCGTCAACGGTACTCGACTCTAGAGAAGGAAGTCAAGCGCTCTTGCAGACGGGACAAGCGAGCGTGGGTGAACTCCCTGGCCGACGAAGGAGAGAAATCCGCAAACACTGGCGATATACGCCTCCTCTACGATATCTCACGACGCCTGAGTGGAGCAAGGATGAACCCGAGGATGCCAGTGAAGGACACGACTGGACAATTGCTTACCGACCCCACTGACCAGCTGAAACGCTGGTTTGAGCACTTCGAACAACTTCTTCAAGTTTCGACGGCCAACCAGCCATCAACATCTCGGCATGATCCGCCTAGGGTGCGGCGCATCACTCGCGTCAATTCCGAGGCCCCATCACTGCAGGAGATTGAAGCAGCTATCCGAAGCATGAAATCCAACAAGGCTCCAGGGGTCGATCGCATATCAGCAGAGATGCTCAAAGCTGACCCCATGCTATCCGCACAAATGTTGCATCAACTATTCTGTAATATCTGGGACACCGCGACTTTTTCGGCTGACTGGATGCAGGGCATCTTAGTGAAGGTCCCAAAGAAGGGGGATCTGACTGTGTGCAACAATTTGCGAGGCATCATGTTACTGTGTATTGTTCTCAAAGTTCTGTGCAAAGTTATCCTGAATCGGATACAGGAGAAGATCGACGCGAATCTCCGACCCTATCCGGGTGGTCGCTGGTGTGAGACAAGGATGTATACTATCACCGCTACTGTTTCTCATCGTAATCGACGATGGTGGGTGCAATTGACCGTGTACCGAACCGTGGGCTGCTTTGGCAGCCTATCACCATGGAGCATCTCAACGACTTCGATTTGGCTGATGATGTTGCTCTACTAGCAAAACGGCGCTCTGATATGCAGAGTAAGCTCAATGACCTAGCCGAACGCTCCTCTGCGGCGGGTCTCACCATCAACGTCAACAAGACCAAATCGTTGGATATCAACACGGGCAACCCTTCCAACTTTACGGTAGCGGGCCAAGCAGTGGAGAAGGTCGAAAGTTTCCAATATCTTGGCAGCCAAATAACGTTGGACGGCGGGACCAAGAGCGACATAGGTGCACGAATCAAGAAGGCTAGGGCTGCCTTTGCGAGTTTCCAACCAGATAAGTCAACGCACCATAATCCGAATTTTCAACTCGAACGTGAAATCTGTGTTGTTATACGCCAGCGAGACGTGGTGTGTATCAGCGGAGAACACTCAAAAGCTGCAGGTCTTCATCAACCGATGCCTGCGGTATATAATTCGTGCCTGGTGGCCTTACAACTGGATCTCGAATGCCGAGCTCCATCGTCGATGTCATCAGAAGCCGATAGCAACAGAAATTCGAAAGCGAAAGTGGAGGTGGATCGGCCACACACTTCGACGGGGCGGAAACGAAATCTGCAAGCAAGCGCTGGATTGGAATCCGGCAGGACATCGCAGCAGAGGCAGACCCAGGGGCTCATGGCGGTGGAGCCTCAATAAGGAAATTAAGCAAGTCGATAGGAATCTGACCTGGGCCCAGGTCAAGGCAAAAGCGAGCAGCCACCCAGGATGGAAGTCTTTCACGTTGGCCCTTTGCACCGCTGGTGGTGCACAGGACCCTTAAGTAAGTAAGTAAGTGAATCATTTCAGAAATGTTCGGAAAGCACTGATTCATTTAAAACAAAGGATCGGAATCATGATTCATTTCATAAAAAATCAGTATCACTTCCGGAAGAACGGAATCACTTCGGAAGGAGCTGAATCAATTCAGTTATATTCGGAAAGTACTTAATCACTTCATAAATGTTTGGAATCACTTCAGAAAGTACATACCTTACCTATCAGGCTAAAGCCTTGTTGTCCTTTACTGTCCGGAGAAGTCGTCTCCACTCTACTCGATCCATGGCCACACTTCGCCAGCCTCATAGTCTGCCAAGGGGGTCCGCAGGTTGCCTTCTACTTGGTCGATCCACTGCGCGCCTCTTCTTCTTGTTCCTGTTGGGTCGCTTTCTAGAACCATTTTCACTGTCTCGAGCAATTACGTCGTCCATAGTGAATTTGTCGAACTGTGAAAGCAAATCGCTATGGGTGAATATCAACGAAGGTGCCATCTTTTGAACGCCAAACTGACTAAGAAATATATCTTGTGATATGCACTTTACAACCATCTAAAAAACTGCATGAATTTTCACAAAAACTGTGAAAATATTGCAAATCATTCACTTGTGATCATAACACCAACAAAACTGCATAAACTTATAATGTGTGACATTGAAAACCCATTGCATGAAGGGACAGTGCCAACAAGAATGACAGCGAGACAGCGAGTGTGCTACAAAGTAAGGCCTGTACTTGAAAAAAAAAAATGCACCAGACAAAAGTGTTCGCCAAAAATTTAATTTAGGTCGGATTTTCTTGAAACTTTCAGGGAATGAACTATGTTCGACTCCCCGTCGAAATCAGTAATGTTGATGCAACTTACAGCGATTGATGCGTTCTTTGCTGCTCTACTTCAGCTTCAGCCGTGCCAATAAACTCTGATTTGGTGAGGTAGGTTGGGTACCTTAGCATGCAATTTATCGGATTTGCAATCACACACGAATTACACACAGAACAACAACAGTTTATTGCACTTAAACACTACTATTTAGACTTAAATTTATTTAACTCTTAATATAATAACGACACAAACAAATTAAAATGCGATCTTTTCATCCCGACGCGCGCGGTCGAACGGTGGATGATACCCGTCGTGTGGTCTTGCATGCACTGACTTATCATCTACGGAAAAGTAACCAGCATCACCGACTCGCCCATGGAGTGCGTGTATAGGTAGCCGAAGATGACGACCGGTGGTAGTGGTCAACGGTGAGTGACCGATGGTCTTGTATAGGCGACTGCTTCCTCCTGATGACGCATAGATAGCGTTGCCGAACATCCTGCCCCCGGCAGAAATGACCATTTCTGGAGATTCTCGACGCTGGCTTCGTGGAAGAGCTCGGTGACATGGAACAGATAAAGAAGACCCGGTAGGATTTCCCAAAAAATTAAAAGTGTTGGACAGGTCCTTACCTGGACCCTACTGTTCGAGGGCCTTGTATGCTGATAATCTACGATGAGTTCTGCCCCCGGCTGACGTGACGTCCTCGCTATTTATCGCTTTCGTTGTGGAGTTGATGTTACGATTCCATTTACAGCAGCACTAGCAGTTGATCCGATCCTCATGGAGTATAGTGGGAAACGCTCGCAGGTACATGTAATGTGAATAAAACCCGGTAGCCAATTTCGAGAAGGTATGTGTTATTGGAAAGATCCTCACCTGGACCCTTCGCATTAAGGGCCTTGAATTGATTTCGTTTCCAGCAACTTTGAAGAGCTTGGTTGATCTGCTTCTGCAGAAACCATGCTGTTGGCCAGGTTGATCCACAAAGGAAACCTCTAGCCCGACCGCAGTTGCGGTGCTGCTGACGTTGATGGCTGATCGTCGGCTGATGGTGGTATTGGAAGTACGAAGATTTTTGCCGTAGGACGAGTGAGGAATTCGGTTGCAGTTTGCAGAGTGACTACTCGTACTACGTCGTCCTTTCCTGGGTGTAGATCGTGGATTCGTGCAGTGGCCCAGCGCATCGGTGGCTGGTTCTCGTCTACGATTACTACGAGCTGGTTTTCGTGCAGTGGTACAGGCGGTTTGCACCACTTACTACGTGGTTGTAGCGAAACGAGGTATTCCACGTGCCAGCGTTTCCAGATATCCTGGAGCAGTTTCTGGATTAGCTGCCATTGGTGGAGACGGTTTGCTGGAATCGATTCATAGTCGACGCCTGGGACGGACTGCAAGGACGAACCGATCAGAAAGTGTCCCGGTGTGAGGGCTTGAAAGTCTGACGGATCCTCGGATAGTTTGGTGAGCGGCCGTGAATTGAGACAAGCTTCAATCTGCACGAGGAGTGTCTCCATGTCGTCGAAGGCTAGCTTACGATCTCCGAGCACACGGAAGTAGTGCTTCTGTGCAGAGTTGATTGCAGCTTCCCATAATCCTCCGAAATGCGAACCACGGGGCGGATTGAAGTGCCAACGAATCCCGTTGGTAGCACATTCACTGGCGAAAATGTGCTGAAAGTCTTTGTCACGTATTAGTTTCCGGATTTCATTTGCTGCCCCAACAAAGTTTTTACCGTTGTCGCTGTACACGTCTGAACACAAACCCCGACGAGATACGAAGCGACGGAAAGCCTGGAGAAACTTGACTGTAGTTAGGTCCACGACGAGCTCCAGGTGTACAGCTTCTGAAGCACACAAATACTGCGCCGTAAGCTTTCGGAGGTGCATCTCTGCGGTGACGAGGCTTGAGGTAGATCGGTCCCCAGAAATCAACACCGACGAAGGAGAAAGGTCTCGAAGCGGTAACACGCTGAGTTGGAAGTTCAGCCATGAATTGCTCGACTGCCTTCGGTTTGGCTCGAAAACAGGTGACGCAGCCGTGAACAATGCGACGAGTGATGTTTCTGCCGCCCAAGATCCAAAACCGATGCCGAATAGTGTTGGTAAGCAGCTGTACAGCTGCGTGCAGAAGGCGTTCATGCTGACAACGGACGAGAAGTGTCATGAATGGATGCGACCCTGGCAGAAGTATCTGATGGCGAGAATCATACGGTTGTGCAGAACGACTCAATCGCCCTCCGATGCGTAAAACGTTATCAGGAGCAATCATCGGATTGAACCAGCGAAGTCGTGAATTCGAGGAGACCATTAGATTTGCCTGTAGTGCCTTCCATTCCATAGGAAAGCTGTCCCTTTGAACAAGTCGAACGAGTGCTAGTTCGGCGCTACGGAGTTCAGTTGCTGTTAGCGGTGATGAAACGGTTCGCTCGGCCTTGGGTAGTCGAAGGTTTTCGAAATACCGCCACCAGTAGGCAGTGATGCGTAACATATGCTGGTAGCTGGAGAACCTGCTTACGTATTCCTCGACGAATGATGGCGAAGAAGAAGCGACTGCAAACGAAGATTTCCTTGCTTCCTTGGCTGCCTCGTTGCCAACACATGCGTCAACTGAAACTTTCCACGATTCTTTTTCTCCTCGAAGCCATGGAGGACCTTCCCACCACAGTCTACACTGTATCAAGTCCGCAGCTGGAAGACCTCTCGAGATGATGTCCGCGGGATTTTCTCGTCCTACTACGTGGTTCCACTCGCAGTTCTCCGTCTTCTGCTGGATTTTGGATACCCGGTTTCCGACAAAAGTGGACCAGGTGGATGGTGTAGCCTTGAGCCAACTCAAAACGGTGGTTGAATCTACCCAGAAATACGCTTTGGATGTGATTCGCAGCGCTTTGTAAACCTTCTGGTAGAGCTCAGCAGACAGCAGTGCGCCACAAAGCTCTAGGCGCAGAATGCTTTGCTGTTTGAGTGGAGACACCTTCGAGCGAGACGTTAATAGAGCGACCTTGACTTCACCTGACTCATTCGATGATCTGATGTAGGCACACGATCCATATGCAGCTAAAGAGGCGTCTGAGAAGAAATGCAGCTCCACAGAAGTAGTATTTGGGAGTATGACGAATCGATCAATTCGCAGAGCGTTCAGATGGGGAAGTTCGGTGTAGTATTCGACCCAACGTTTCTTCATCTGCTCCGGTAGTTCCTTGTCCCACTCGTACTGCTTTCCGCTGTCATCTTTCAATCCCCACAATGCTTGCATGAAGGTCTTCGCGATGACTACGACCGGACTCACGAAACCAAGTGGGTTTGGCGATGCAGGAAAGTGTGCTTCGTTTCGTGACGACTGTTGAGGACTTGGTTGTCGCTTCAGGAACGACGTATTTCAACTGGTCAGAACAGGGTTCCCAGTGTAGACCCAGTGTCTTTATGGCCTGATCCTTGTCGAAATCCATCGAAGGCTGCAAGGCACGGTTGTATTCCGGAACTCCTTCTAGTAGTGCAGGGTAATTGCTCGCCCACTTTCGTAGCTGCATTCCAGCTGAGTTGAACATGGCATCCATTTGCTCCCGTAGTTCGATTGCTTCGGTGACTGTCTGTGCGCCCGAAAAGAAATCGTCGACATAAAAATCCTCACAGGTTGCTTTCGCTGCGAGGGGATACCTCTCCTTCTCATCCTCCGCTAGCTTCTTCAGTACTCGAGTGGCTAGATACGGAGCTGAAGCGGTGCCGTAGGTTACGGTCTTCAATTTGTAGATGCAGATCGGTTCTGATAGTAAAGGACGCCAGAATATCAAATGAAATCGGCAGTCTCTGGGAAACAAAACCATTTGCCGGTACATTTTGGCGACGTCAGCAATCATCATGATAGGATGCAGGCGAGATCGCATCGTTATATACCGCAAATCTTCTTGAACAATTGGACCCACTAGCATAGCGTCGTTCAGGGAAATTCCGGTGGAGCTCTTGCAAGAAGCATCGAAGACGACACGCACCTTGGTTGTACTGCTCTCCTCGCGAATGACTGGATGATGTGGAAGGAAGTATGCAGGCCCTGACGCTGCATCTGATTCATCGATTCGCTCCATGTGTCCCAACTCTTCGTACTCGTCCATGAATTTACGATATTCGGCGGCTAATTTTGGATCGCGCCCGAAACGACCCTCGATCAAGCGAAAACGGTGAAGTGCAGTACGTTTTTTGTCTCCTAGTTTGTCCAAAACATCTTCCTTGAACGGTACTCGTACCATGTACCATCCATCCTCACAGCGACGAGTAGTTTCGCTGAAGAATTTCTCGCAGTAGGCTTCGGATGCAGAGTAGACGATCGTTGAATCGTCCTCGATGGCCCAAAATCGCTCCATGTCACGATGGATGTCGGCAGTGGTAGCAACATTGCAGACTACGGAAGATCTTGAATGTTGTTCAGAAGTTTTGCCGCTGATAATCCAACCGAAAACCGAATTAACCAGACACGGAAGAGATTCACCCAAAATGATTCGACCAGCAACATTGAAGAGATCGAAGAATACCTCGGCCCCTAACACAACATCAATGACTCCGGACTGATAGAATGACGGATCAGCTAACTGGATTCCTGTCGGAAGCGACCAGCTCGACGCATCGACGGAGATTGAAGGCAGATCTACGGTGACCTTGGGAAGAACGAAGGCGTCGATGGTGGTGGAAAACTTGGATATCCGAGACTTCACTATCGAGCGGAACATGCAGCGGACTTCGATAGACGCTTGACCAATCCCTGCGATCGGATTTTCCATGACGGCGCGTAAAATTCTCCGGCGATTTTTTCTTGTTTCGATGACATCTCAATAATCACTGAACCGATTGTTATGAAATTTTGCACATGTAAACAATTCACTCCAAACTAGTTACACCCAGATTTTCATCAATTTTTACCCACGGATAAAAAAGTTACACACGGATAAAAATTGTGCATTTTTTTCGAGTACAAGCCTTAGTTCGATTTAAAAAAAATATACGAATTAATAAGTTTGATCCCGTACTTGCTTTTTTGCTTTTGCTGTAAATTGCTTTAAGACAATAAAGCAGGAACCCCGGTTTCCGTGGTGAGTGTTGCCATCTACCCACCGCCATTTCAAATATTACATTACAGTATTTCAACCAATTGAGCTGACTTTGTATGAGTGTCAAGTTTGCTGTTGGCCCTAAGCACATACAAACAATCAGCTCAATATAACTAAAATCTTTCAGTCAAGATTGTTGAGAAATTGCGGGGGTAGACCGCACCACCCATCACGTAGATTGTGGATTCCTGTATTATTTTATTACAGCATCTTACAGCAAAAGCAAAAGAGCAAGTACAGGAACAAATATCACAAAATATATGGGATCATAATTGAGTAATATCAAAGTCAAAATAATAGCAAAAATCATTGCAAATTCATATTAAATTTTGCTATTATATCTCATCAAGCTCAAGCTTAGTATGTTGTTAAAATAAATTTATTAAATTATCACAAAATCTAATTCCTCAACAGTGGGTAGTCCTGAATCTCGTCAGCCTTTCATTTGCTGGGTAACGCTCTTAGCCCATCCAGTCAGCTTCTACAGTACGATGGAATCGTTCTGAAAAACCAACATTGTTCCATCACCGTTTTACTCAACGAAAACAACTGCAATCATCCAACAACGAGCGGAACGATTGAATCACCACAACACGTCCCAGCTAAACAGTTTCTCCCATTAGACAGTGATGAAATCACTTTCCTCCGTTACCAGTCAGTTTATTTTCTCTGCGTTCTGACTGGTGAGTCTGTCGTCCCACGTGCCATGTGTGCGAATGTGATCCGCGTGAAAATGATCTAATTAAGGAAAATAAACACGTTCCTGCTTTTACGAGAAAAATTCATGTCGCGTGCACAACGTATGTTTCGTCTCTATGCTAAGTCTATATTCTTAAGAGGCTCTGTGTTAAAGTAGGTTAAACTTTCCGAATTCGTTGATTGGTTGAAACCCTTTAAAATTCAACCCTTGAAGGTCAACCTCAACCCTGCCAGAAGCTGGGATAAAATATCAATTTTCCAAACGAGCTAGATTGTAGCGGCGACGCCTCACATCGTCAAACAGATCGCTGGGGCAGAAAAACAACAAGTTGTGACTGCATAACAAAACGGCCCCCGTGTAGTCCTATGGTCGTTCAGTGTGTTGAACAAGATGCTGCAGTCTAACTCGTTTTCACTGTCTTTTGTTCCGATGATGGCACATTTTTATATACACACCCATTTCCCTCCTCTGCTGCAAGAGTTGTTGGTCTATTTTTCAAACTGCTTTTTCCTATATATTAGTGCGATGCGGTGAAACTGCGTGATATTGCGATGAGCCAAGATTTGCATAAATATTTCCAAGCCATTTTGAGACAATGCTGCTGGGACGGTGCGTTGATTGGGAGTTTCTACACGGAAAAAAATAACGTAAGATTGTATTTAGCGACGTTATGATTCGTGAGTGACAGCTCATGAATCATGAAATCACTAATTCTCGACTACTTTTTCGAAGGGACGTATCAGATTTTGTAAACAATGCATTTGATAGTCGATCTGACGTAACTGGTAGCTCGCCCACGCATGCTAACACTACCATCAGAATTTACCCCTACATGATAGTAGTGTTAGTATGTGTGGGCGAGCTACCAGTTACACCAAAACGACTATCAAATGCATTGTTTACAAAAGCTGCTACTTCCCTTCGAAAAAGTAGTCGAGAATTGTGACTCTATGGAAGGAAAATTGACAGGAGGTTCAAAACTGCAGAATAATTTGAACGTCCTAGTCAAGTCATGATAAACATCTTTCAGATAATTTTTAAATTTTTAAACTCCTACAGCTGAGTTGTATTAAAAGATGAAATAAGCCTCAGATAAAACTGAGACTGAGTCGGTTATGAATTTATCCTGTATCTTGAAATTCTGGTAGATCCCCAGACATTCGCAAAAATGTTGATCGCTGCCTGTTCAAATTGTTTTTTTATGAAGTATTCAGACAATCGATTGGGCAGGTTGATTCTTTCATTAATGATATCAAGAAAGTCGGGAGCCCATGCGTTGTTCGCAACAGGTGGATTTATGAGGGTTGCTGCCACTCTGAAATCTTCAAACATATGCCACATAGCCACATTGAAATAACATTGACGGAACAACTTGAAATCTCGCTTGAATAGTTCGTTAACTACATCAACCACCCATCGACAACCGTGACTGATTGGCCTGCTCCGTTGTCAGTTGGTCTTGATTCCGGCTTTTGGAATGTGGCATCACTGCTTCATAGCCGAAGAACCTCAGTTCTTTCATTCAACTTTACAAGATATATTCTCAAAGCTGTACCTGGAGTGACATATGTTTGTAAGGAACGGAATTTACTCAAGAATTTGTTCGAACTGTCCATTTCCAACAAGCTTTCAAAATCTAATGCATTTTGCTGCAAAGCAACTCTAAAATTATCAAACATTTCTTGTGTATGCACACTTAGAAATAGCTAATCTTACACGTGACGGAATCCGTCTTTGACATAAAAGATGAGACGTAAACAAACATGTCATGTAAAATTGGGTGCTCCGAGACTGAAAAGTTCATTGCTCGATGAAAAGTACGTTTGATTGAGCTATATTTCACGCCTGGTATGACTCAAATTTATGTCAAAATTGACGCTCGTATATGTCACTCTCAGAGCACCTAAATTTACATGATTTTTTCTAAGTGTGTGGGTGCCCTTGAAATCGTGGATCAGGTTGGGAGAATCCAATAATTCTTCCCATTCGTTTCTTCGTTAATGCTCCTGGCACACTCTGGAATTTTGTGGAACATAGTAGTAATGGTGGATTAGCAAAAACTTCTCGATTCCAGACGGAATACGGCATCTTGTTTCGTTGTGGCAGTTAGTAAAAATACAGCGATTAGATGTATTTGCTGCCGTGAATACTCGTCAATCTCGAGGAATCCCAAGGTATTAAGCTGTACCTACATTTCCAGCATGTGCATGTTAGCTCTGACTCAGTGAGCATGACAGAGATATTACTCGTTGTTAAAAACAATCTATGAATGAAAAGGTTAACAATTCAACAGATATAGTAACTAAGTCTTGCATTATATTTATTGCTACTAGACTTGGAAACCGTAATGACCCACTCGCGACAATCGATTTTACTCTCGTGATGCACGTTAAAGTGAAAACAACAAATCAAAAAGACTGGCAACTCTGCCAAAAATCAGGAGACAGTAACGACAACGCTTCTTCTGAGCAAAAGTGGAACCTGTGTATGATGGTGTTCGTTAATTCGCGAGTGCATTCGCACACATAGTTAGAAATAACTAGCTGTCAATTATTGGTTTTGTTATGATTATCGTAAAAAAGTGAAACCTCGCATAACATTTAAAAAGGACCTATCCTCGTTGATCGATTCTCTTCATTGACTTTCTCTTTGGTTTGCCACGGCAACAATAACGAATTTTTCGTTAAGCTCGCAGCACAGTTCGACAGAAGATGATGTTAGCTTGCGCCTGAAACAACACACTCAATGGGAAATACATTTGCAGTCGGGTTATTCGCGAAAGAGAAAATCGATGAAGGGAATCGTGTTGCGCGAGAAACGTTTCTTTATTTGCTTGTAAGTGTCAATCTCACCAAAAAGACATGGGATATAACCAGTATAGTGTACGCGGCGGTTTCAATAATTCAAGCTATTCAAAAATATCGTTTTTCATAGTAGCTGCCAGCTACAGGTAATAAAATATGTGTTTGTTTGTTTACTTAATGTTTCCATATATGTATGTTTCTAGAGACTCTTCAGTATGGAAAACAATCTGCGGTGATAACAACTTGTCGGATAATGCATATATTTGCGAAGATCATTTAAATTATTCTGATTTTATTAACAGGAGCAATAAAAGCCAAGGGTTAGTTCAGAACATACGAAATATGTACACAGTGTAAATTTAATTACATTTTCTTCTTCAGGCTTCGCAAATTTGCGATCCCTAGTGTGGCTCCTTCTTCTACGAAATGGAACGCGAATCATGTCCACCTCGATGAATCCTGCCCTATGGATTTTGAAAGTGAGGAATGTGTTTTCACGGGACTTGAGCTTGATTCATATTACGCTGGAATCAATGGAAATTTATTGGGCGTCGCTGGTGAGGTGGAAGTCGCTTCAATGACAGCCTACGAAAGTGTGCAGGTTACTAGTGCTCCTGTGTTGAAAAAAAAATTAAAGGGTTGTGTCCCAGACACGACCGCAGTATGACGTAGAACCTATCAATCTATCTTTTTTTTGCCATTTAAATGATCTTTATTTCTTGTGATTGTGTGGTTTACATGTATGAATTTGTTAAGTGACACAGATGCGTCTTTTCAACTTTGGTACATTTGAGATTTTAATTATTATTTACAGTTCCTAGTCCTATCAGGCCTATTTTAAAGTATGACCACCTTGGTGGGATTGGTTTGATTTGAATTGGAAAAGGGAGACTACTTATAACTACTATTTACAACTACAACTAACCTACAACTACTATGTACACCTAACCTACTATATACAAATTGCTTATCAAAGCATGTTCTGATAAATTACATTTTTGTGTAAATTTAGTCTTAATTTCGTTAATTTTGGAATCTATTTTGGCAATGCCTGCCTCTTCGTGTAAATTTGTTATTCTAGTGTCAAAAGGACGATCAAGAACCATCCTCAGCACTCTATTCTGAGCTACCTGAATTTTGTTCCTGTGAGTCTGTGCACATGATTCCCA